ATTTATTTCTAGAGTGAATCTGTATGACTTTCGGTCTTCTGTGGAGCACAAAATAAATAAATAAATTGATAAAGGGTTCTCACTGCTTTCTTTTATGCAAAGAGAAGTGGTTGGCCACAAGCAACTCTCAAAATATAAACACTAATAACAGGCTTACCATAGTGAATCAGGGTAAGACAATTGATGACGCATTGACTCATTTAAATTAAGTTTTTAAAAAAAGGCTAGATTGAGCATTTCTCTGCATTAGTTATCTCAGGCCATCGTCTTTAGATAACAAGCTCATTTATGGATTTAATAAGCATCTTAACAGTCTCCTAGGCAAGGGTATGGCACACACAGAGAGAGCAGGTAAACACTTTTCCCCACTCTCCTCCCCCACATGTCCATCAATAAAATGAGTTCAGACAGGCAGGCGACAGATGAGACTCAAAAGAAAGGAAGATATTAGGAGTAACCATTAAATGGGGGGGAAAAACTGTCAGGATTTGCTAAATGGCCAAACCCAGTGCACAGGCCCGGATGCGCACAACACATTGTCAGAAGTGATAATGTGCAGGTATGCAAAAGTAATGCTAATCATGTTATCTGCTACACAGTGGAGAAACTGTCATGTGGCTGAACAGTGATAAAGTAGCAGTACAGACTCGGCATTTACATTCAAACCACAGAGGTATAAATGTGAGAGGGAAAAATCCTGATTCAACAAATTCTTTCACCTACTTTACAGCGGAAACATGGACATTCGGTTCAGTTATCAGCAGAGTCAGCTCATTTAATGCCTGACTCAAAACTGTGGAGATTCTGCAAAACCAGAGACCCTTAAGCCGGAAGGTACACCCTGATGGCCTTGCCCATCACTTAACACTGAACTACGATACACATGTGCCTGACACTGGCTTTAGTCCTGAAATCTCTTGTGTTGCTGTGTCGTTCACTGTGGCTCACTCAATGCAGCAGTGTTTTAAACTTGCTCGGTTTGATGATTTGTGCTTGTTGGAATCAATAAAAGTGAGAATGCCTATTAAATTCCAATTATTTTTCAGTATAAACTGAATATGCACAGCATATGGAGTATTTCCATTAATGTTAAATAATATCAAGATTACATAGTTTGAATAGTATTAACCATATTTGAAATGTCACCAACCATTTATTTAATTGATATATTACATAATTAAACTACCATTGAATTTTTTATGCTCAACAAGGCTGAATTTATTTGATAAAAATACAGTAAATACAGTATTATTGTGAAATATTATTACAATTTAAAATACCCGTTTTCTTTTTAAACATATTTTAAATTGTAACTTATTCCTGTGATGCAAAGCTGAATTTTGAGCAACATTACCCAAGTCTTCAGTGTCACATGATCCTTCAAAAATCTATATTTGATCAATATAAAGATCAAAAGAACATAATTCATTTAATCATTTATATCTTTTGTAACAATGTAAAAGTATTTAATGCGTCCTGGCTGAATAAAAGTATTAATTTCTTTCAAATAAAATCCAGGATCAAAAAAATTATGTCCAGGAACATAGATCCAGGGAAATGTCTTGGCAAAATCATGGTGACAATTCAATTCAAATTCCAACTCATTGATTGGCTCATTCATAAATTGTGAATTTTGCTCAAACATGAGCCAAATGATATTTTGAAATAAACTAGACAAGGAAGGCCTCACAAAGGAAATGAGCAAATGTATTAAATAATAATATCAGTACCCATAATGAGTTCAAGGACGCCAAGATGTGTAAGCTTTAAAGTTCACTTACAGTCAAGTAAGACATGAGTGTGTCATTGACTAGAGCTCTAGATCTCACAGTATGAGTCAGTAAGTATGCAGGCAACCAACATACGAAAACAGGAAGTCCAGCGGGGCGTTCCGGCAGGATGAGGAAGAGGCCATCAGGTGGAGGTGACTGTGCTGATGTGGAAGAGGAAAACCATTTCCAGGAAGGTCTGTGACTGAGGAAAACAGCACACAAAGGATGCAGAACACGTTTATGAGCCAAATTCCATGTTCTGTTGCAATTTACTTTCAGACCTCTATTCATAAAAGCTGACAACGACACCATATTAAATTAAAACATTCAACATTTGCTACTATATGCAACTACATCCTGTGGATGTACAAATCACAGTCATTTGAAAAGCAATGCAGATTTGCAAACTGTAGAGGAAGACAAAAAAAATTTAAATAAAGGAAAGGAAAATGGCAGCATTTACATTATTTATTGGATATGGAACTGAAAAACTGAATTTGGGTCATGGATTTAGATCATATGCAAAAGCAAACCACCAGCTTGCATTCAGATGCTGTCAATGTAACTTCGGCCCCAGGATTCCTGGCAGCGGTTCTGGGGTCACACAGCCAAGAAGAGGTTTCTTCATTCCTCTCAATGGGACCGCAGAGGTTCATGGTCGTCGCAACCCACATTCTTCATCTCCCATTAGAACAGACCACTGACTGGACCTCAGACGAGAACAACAACTGATCTCTTCTGGGAATCTGACAATATATTATTAACCACAAATAACATGCATAACCCTTTCATTACAGATACATCAGAAGGAATCGAAAATCCTGTATATTGTCTGTAATTTTTTATATATCTTTGTTAGATAAAAGAATGATTTTAAAACACAATGATTACCAATTTGACATAAAAAGCATTAAAACCGTCAATCAAATGATTAAAGTTCAATATTTTCATGTACTGTCGTAGCTAGCAGAACATCCCTGATGATCCTGGAGCAAAATTCCAATTAACCAATCAGATTTGAGTTTACTTAGTCCGGTTTAAGCTTACAACCAGGGTTAGTTAATCCAACATGGGTGTTATTCATATATCATTTCCCACTGAGTTTAGGGATAACTTATGGGTAGGGTTAGGACTACATTTTCGGAGCAGTTGGGAACCTCACTGTTAGATTTGCAAGATCTCGTTTACCAATAGCGCCCTCTTCTGGTTACAGCTGTCAATGCAGCTCTCAGCAGCAAGAATGAAGAGTTCTTGCAGAAACATCCTTTCTGAATAAGGCATATTAAAGTTTTTTTTAAAGAAATTAATACTTAATTACTTGGTAACAATAAAAGTCTTAACTGACACTTAAAAAACTAATCAAATGCTGTTCTTTTTAACTTTCTATTTATCAAAGAATCCTGAAAACAAATGTTTCTCTACAAAAATATTAATATTTTCAACATTGATTCTTGAGCAGCAAATCAGCATATTAGAATGATTTCTGGAGGATCAAGTGACACTGAAGACTGGAGTAATGATGCTGAAAATGCAGTTTTGCCATCACTATATTATATATCAAAATATATTAAAATAGAAAACGGTCATTATAAAATGTAATCATTTTTCACAATGTTTGCTGTTGTTACTGTCGTTTTGAACAAACAAATGCAGCCTAGGTGACCAAGAGACTTCTTTCAAAAACATTTAAAAAAACCTTAATCGACCATTACAGTACAACGTACATTAATGCACTATTTAATGAAAGCAAGGTAAGGAATTTGGTCTCTCAGTATTACATTCAAACTGAAATAAAGATAAATAAAAGACACCCATTCAGTGACAGATCACAATGGAACGCATTTTGTGTCAACGTTTTCTTTTAATCCAACTCTTAACTATTGCATAGACATGTTTCATAACTACTAAATCAGCTGGTAAAACCCACTACAGAAACATGGCTTCCCAGGTAAACATTACATTTTGTATAAGAAAGTAGAAAAAGCCATTCACTTTACCTCGGAAATACACAATTATCCCAATGTTGTGGAAGCTTGTTTCCGCCACAGAATAAAAACATAATAATAATACAAAAGGTAATTCGGACATCTCACAATTCTGACTATTCTTCTGGCAATTGCGAGATATAAACTTAAAATTCTCAGAAATAAAGTCGCAATTGCGAGATTCTTAGTTTTCTTTCATTTTCATGCGAGTTTTTAACCACACAAGCTTCCGTAAAACGTTGGTATGTTTTCAGATTTAAAAAAAAAAAGCTCTTAAGCTAGAGTTCTACAAGAGACAGCATCTTGACAAGATACAAATAAAGACGTTTGACAAAAAGTATTAATAGATCTTGAAAGATTTAAATTATTGTAAAGGACTGATTTAGGAAACAAAGATTTTTTTTTCTTAAAAAGCAACAAAATGTTTGGAAACGGCCTTATACAGACAGCGGCCGGGTCATTCCTTTCTCTTATCTTCTCAGAGGAAGCTTCGCTTGCTTCTGTTCTGAACGAACACTAAAACGGCCCAAATTATTCCTCAGAAACGCCTTCGAATTAAGCAAGCCGGGTTTTGATATAAACAAACCCAGGCTTCCTCAATTCAAAAAGCTGACCAGTTTCCATCAGCGTCACACGAAGTAATAAAACCATAGAAGCAAAAATATCAAAAAGAAGAAACTCAAAAGAGATTAAAAAGCCTGGCACAGTTTTGGTTCAGCTGAAATGGGTCAGTAACGTCACATCTGGTGCTGCAGGATCTGTATCTAATGCCTGCTTATCGACATACTTGCACATATGTTTTACCCACACCGGCACAGCGCGAGGAACTGTGGGATACGCACACAACCTAAATCCACATACACACCCTGATCCACAGAGTGAAGTAGGCCGACTCACATGTAAACCACACGAAACGCTACAATACTTCGTTCTAGCCTTCAGTCTTGACATTGCTCAACCGCAGCCATCTTTACCCAGACTCCACCCTGAGTGACCCAACCCGGCTAATAACACACGCAGAAAAGACATCATTAAGTGCTGCGATAACTACAATGTAGTTATTCACTCAGAACAAACCTCAACAAAGTATGTCATTCGTATTGATATATATATATACACATAGCTGAACTGAAAGTACAATTCTCATAATAAAAGGTAACAAAAAAAAAAACAGGTGTAGATTTTCCCCTGTTTTATACAAGTATTTTAAAAGTAGCTAATATAAAGTAGCTCTTCCCATATCAAACTCTCTATTCACTAAAGTGCTCTCACATTCAACTAACGATGACAACCATAAACGCAACAGTATAGCTATGCAAGAGTGAGATACCAAATATAAAGCTGTTTAGACCTTGCAGAGCACTAACAAGAAAAAGATCCAGCTATATATCACTAGTTTCTTGAAAAGAAAAAGATACAACAATCCTCATCAAAAACGTTGATCCTAAACAGCGTGATGTTTCAATGTTTAAAGGGGCTAATAAAGTGAAAAGAGTGTATGTGTGTGTGACCAGATGGCGTCTGGCCTGCTTTGTTCCAGTTGTTCTGCTGGTGTGCAGAGTCTGTAACACTGTCACTGAAGGGGGGTTTGCTCTCAGTATTTAGGTACTTTGGTGTAATCCTCCTGTTGGACGCTCTTGCACAGGCACATGGACAGGATCATCCCTAAAAGCTGGAGTAAGCAGAATAGACAGAGATCACAATCTGGTCCCCCACCTCACTCATACACACAGAAACACACGTTTACAATGGCTACATTCATAATGCGAGTAACATACTACATACTAACAGTCTTAGAGCTCAATTTCGATTAACTGCTCAGATCCGTTTTTTTTTTTTTTTGTATAGCTGTTCACATTGTTGTTTCAAATCTGACCAATATCAGATTCCAGTGCGAACAGATCATGGTCCTGAACGGACTTTTTGGTCTCTGAAGCGATAACACAACCACACACACACATACTGTACAGTTCAAAAGTTTGGGGTCAGTACGATTTAAAAAAATAAATAAAATTAATACTTTTATTAAACAACAACAACTTAAAATTAATCAAATCAAAAGTGACAGTAAAGCCATTTGTAATGTTGCAAAAGCTTTCTATTTTAAATAAATAGTGACGCAAGATATATCGGCCACCATATCGGTATCGGTCAATATGTTTACATTTTTTATGTTATCGTTTTCTGCACGATAATAAAATGTGGATAATATATTAAAGCTGATAAATTATCAGCTTAGAGACACTTCAGATGCGCACTGTTCGCCATGATGGTTATGAATTGCTTGAAATATGATTGGAATCCCTTCAAAAATGAAAATACGGTTCAGTGCAGGTCTGTCATATAGGCTTCATAAAATTATAATGAGAACTATAGTTGTGTGCTTGAGACATGGATTTAAATGGAGAGACTTTTGTTTTTGTAATCAGGCTCTCAAAAATGAAATAAAAATTTGGATTTGGATTTATCGGTCAATATAATGGTTATCGGCTTTCGAATATGAAGAATTATCGGTTATAGGTATCGGCCAAAATGTTGATATCGGTGCATCCCTACAGATAAATGCATTTTCTCTTGAACTTTCTATGTATCAAAGAATCTTGAAAAAGTATCACGTTTTGCACAAAAATATTAAGCATAAACACTGATAATTCTTGAGCACCAAATCAGCATATTAGACTGATTTCTCAAACTTTTGAACAATAGTTTATATTTCCAAAAGATGTAATTCAATTATTTGTTTGACCATGTTTTGATCATTTAAATTAGCTATAATTAAATAATAAAAATATTTTAGTCAAATTAAATAATACATTTAAAAAATAATAATTGAATATAAATAGAAACAAAAAATATTTAGTTTTGGTTTTTAGTGTCTAATGTGCTAAAAAAAAAAGAAAAAGAAAAAGGAATGGGACACCAACGCGCACCGTATTTGTGGAAAGTGCCAAAATAACAGGCAATTAATAACCGGTTAATGAAAGACACCGAATAATCATGAATTGGGAATGCATTTCACAAGATACGCTTTCTAGATTTACCTCAATCACTGCTATTCCGACACAGACTCCCAGAATAACTCCACAGTTCCTCAGGAGCCAGTCCTCCACACTAGATACACAACCCTGCCAACAGAGAATGGAGACAAATGAAATAAGCAGAACAACTGGGGAGGAAAAAAAAGAGTGAAACGAGATATGCGTGGTTTGGAAATGGTCCTAAACGGACAGAGCTCTGCAAAGATAACACCAGGAGAGACTAACTGAACATGCCAAACTCAAGCTAGGCCAACAGTCAGTGGTCTCCTTTATAGGAAACTACATTTTGATTTACAGTAAACACTTTTGTTCAATTATTCAAACAACTGGACTTTGTATATGCTACTAATATGATACAGTTTCCAAATGAATTAATGTATTGGCATAATGGAAAAGCATTCAGAATTCTCATTTAAATGTAAGTATATGAGGTCTGAAAACTGGCCTGGCCTACGAGACCTAATGAGCAGAAGCACAACCTGTACCAGAGTCATGAATCAATTCATGTTTAATAAAAGTGCCAAATGGGAACTCAGAAATATTGGCATGGACTGAATAGTTAGCAGGCTGAGACCAGCTAATGTCCAGTCTACAAAGGAAACCCATATGTTGCATTAAAAGCAAAAGGAAGGGAGAGGGAAATCTCACTAGTGTATGAAACACAAACGCCAGGTTTGAGAGAGAATTATTGCATTAGCAATGAGAATGGAGAACTGCAAGGGTTGAAGCCTTAGCTATTGGGTTCAACACCAGAATCAGGAAAGTTTACACAGGAATCTGGATGTGTCAATGTGTGCAGTAAAGCTGTATGTCTGTACCGTAGTGAAGACAGGCCACTCAGAGGACAAATGCGGACACAGGCCTGTTTCTTTCATATCCGTGCCACTGATGGATTCATTTCTGCAGGAACACGGATACAGATTCTGAGAATTGTTCTGACTCTTCATCGACACGTTCTCCGTCCAGTTAGATGGTCCAGTCCAACCACAGCACTTCATCTGTGAGAGAAAGAAAAAAAGCAGGAAAGAAATTTTACACTACAGTAACAACAACAACAAAAATGGTATAAAAAACCTTAATGAAAATAACATTAAAAAGCTGCTTGTTAAACAAGAGATAAAAAGCCACAATAAAATTCCTAGTGACTTATTCTTGTGTCATCCGAAAAATGCTTTTTAGATATTACTGTAAACTTCTCTGTAGGGGAATGATGGAAAATAACAGCGAAGAAGGAAATGGGAGACAATAGCTGAAGGAAAACCGTGCGCTCACCGTTCTCTGGAGATAATCCCAGGCATGCTCGGATGTCTTGTTTTGACCGGTGTAGTTCACCATAATTTTGTTCACAATAGTGGACATCTCTTGTCTCAGCTAAAAATAATCACATGGAGAAATGTTAGGATGGATCTGCGATTCGAACTTTCCTGTGAAGAACTGGATGACACACATGGGAATAACATGATATTTCAACAATCAACATTCTGCAACTGCAACTGTTGGGTTCCAGAAGCAAAAACGTATTATTAATGAACTTATTATTCCTCCATTGTTTTTAATTTGATTGTGCTGTTCGCAATGCCTCATGGGATTGTAGTTCTTTCCCTCACAGTACACACACACACACACACACTGACACAGTCTTTGTCTTTTTTGTCCGATTTTTTGCTTCATATCAAAGTTAGCAATGTTTTCACCTCGTTGCTGATTTGCTTGTAACTCATGGCTTATAACTCTTTAATGAAGGCTTTTTTAAAAATCCCTATGGGAAAAAAAGAATGGGGAAATACTTTGAACCAGCGCTGCTTAATTTTATTAGCTATGATTTCTGTTTTAAATTTTTGCTTTTATCATTTAAATTGTAAAATATTTAAAAATCTTAAACTAGATTAAAGTCTCTTAATACTCACCAAGGCTTTATTTGGTTGTAATGACAATTTAATAATAATATATATAGATATATTTATATTGATTTTACTGTTCCTTTTGATAAATTGTATGCATCTTTGCTGAATAAAAGTTCTCTTAAAGCCCAAACTTTTGAGCAGTAGTACATGTTTGTAAAGTTTTTGTACATCATACAAGTGATAAAACTGACATAAACAATTTTAAAAACCGCCCTTCACTATTTCAACAATGTATGCATTCACGTCGAAAACCTTTCAACACCAAATCACAGTTGAAGTGAACTTTATATTGTGTAGAGCTTGTTTGAAGTTGGTGTGCGTGTGTAGGAGGTGTGGTGGTGCACACACAGCTATGAGGGGGCTACAGCAACGATTATCTAAAAGTGAAAAACTCTTGCTTATGCAGATAGTGTGTAAGAGACGCTGTGAACCTCGCCCTGTTCTGGGAACGCACTCGCCATGCCCTGTGGTGAAGTATAAAGAGAAAACAGAGCATGCCCAAGCAGAGACTACAATTACCTGATCTCTAAAGACTGCTCCTCCCGGAAGACTAGACACGCTATAGCTAAAAGTCAAATATCTATGCATGTCTAATAATATGGACACAGAAAGAAACTAAACACTGTAAGTTAAGTTGAGCATTAGGCATGAGCTTATGGCTGTGGTTAGGCCTGGTGCTACTTAACTAAAACTGATTTAAGAAAGACTGACTAAGCACAAGTTGGATTAGAGGATGTATATCTCCGTCCTAACACTATAGAAAGGCTGATAAGATGAAGTGCAGCTCCTGTTGTTTTTTAATCATCTCAAAGCCATTTGGTGTGAAATGTTTGTGTGTTTCCTGTTCCTGAAGAGGGCGCTGTTGTCGAAAAGTTTCACACGAGAGAGCGAGTGAAGTCAGTGGAAACACCCACATCAAACACGCCTCCTGTTTTCGTTACGCACGGAAACATCTCGTCAAGCCACACACACCATTTTGTGTGAAAGGTGAATATTGTGCAGGGAAAGTGAATTATTCCACTTCCTAATTCATTTGAATGGAGGAAGTGGAACTATTGTAGTTAACAGTCAAAAGATTTCTACAGCTACTTCATTTCAAATCCCAGTTTCTAAACCATCTGTTAACTTTCCTGTTGCCACCTAACACGACGGGTTAAGAGATTACAGTATAGTCCCAGCTGACTAGAAAAAAGTGTTGCAAGCTTGTGACGCCATTGCAGGAAACATGCTTTTCAAATATGCAAAACATTGGAAACCCCATCAAACACATATATTCATTCTGTTAGGTAATTTAGGACAAATGTAAGAAATATGTATTAATTAACACTGTTCCAGATGAACTAAATCAGAAGTTTGCACATCAGACTAGTGTTGGAAAAGCTACTTTTGAATGCTAATCATAATTTAAACTACAGTAAAGCCACTTCTTTTAAAACGTTAGCTACACAACAGACTATTTACAAAGTGTGGCTGATAACACTAAAGCTATTTAAGGTACTAAAATCTTTTAAAACATAACTATCAGATTATTAATTATTTTTTAAAAGCAAAATAGTATATAGTATATCTCAATTAAATATATATATATATATACAGGTCCTTCTCAAAAAATTAGCATATTGTGATAAAGTTAACAAATTTGCATATTTCTTCCGACCAATAAAATAAGTGTTTTTAATACAAAAAAAGCCAACCTTCAAATAATTATGTTCAGTTATGCACTCAATAGTCAATACTTGGTCGGGAATCCTTTTGCAGAAATGACTGCTTCAATGCGGCGTGGCATGGAGGCAATCAGCCTGTGGCACTGCTGAGGTGTTATGGAGGCCCAGGATGCTTCGATAGCGGCCTTAAGCTCATCCAGAGTGTTGGCTCTTGCGTCTCTCAACTTTCTCTTCACAATATCTCACAGATTCTCTATGGGGTTCAGGTCAGGAGAGTTGGCAGGCCAATTGAGCACAGTAATACCATGGTCAGTAAACCATTTACCAGTGGTTTTGGCACTGTGAGCAGGTGCCAGGTCATGCTGAAAAATGAAATATTCATCTCCATAAAGCTTTTCAGCAGATGGAAGCATGAAGTGCTCCAAAATCTCCTGATAGCTAGCTGCATTGACCCTGCCCTTGATAAAACACAGTGGACCAACACCAGCAGCTGACATGGCACCCCAGACCATCACTGACTGTGGGTACTTGACACTGGACTTCAGGCATTTTGGCATTTCCTTCTCCCCAGTCTTCCTCCAGACTCTGGCACCTTGATTTCCGAATGACATGCAAAACTGAGCAACAGTCCAGTGCTGCTTCTCTGTAGCCCAGGTCAGGCACTTCTGCCGCTGTTTCTGGTTCAAAAGTGGCTTGACCTGGGGAATGCGGCACCTGTAGCCCATTTCCTGCACACACCTGTGCACGGTGGCTCTGGATGTTTCTACTCCAGACTCAGTCCACTGCTTCCGCAGGTCCCCCAAGGTCTGGAATCGGTCCTTCTCCACAATCTTCCTCAGGGTCCGGTCACTTCTCGTTGTGCAGCGTTTTTTGCCACACTTTTTCCTTCCCCCAGACTTCCCACTGAGGTGCCTTGATACAGCACTCTGGGAACAGCCTATTTGTTCAGAAATTTCTTTCTGTCTTACCCTCTTGCTTGAGGGTGTCAATGATGGCCTTCTGGACAGCAGTCAGGTCGGCAGTCTTACCCATGATTGCGGTTTTGAGTAATGAAACAGGCTGGGAGTTTTTAAAAGCCTCAGGAATCTTTTGCAGGTGTTTAGAGTTAATTAGTTGATTCAGATGATTAGGTTAATAGCTTGTTTAGAGACCTTTTTCATGATATGCTAATTTTTTGAGATAGGAATTTGGGGTTTTCATGAGCTGTATGCCAAAATCATCAGTATTAAAACAATAAAAGACCTGAAATATTTCAGTTGGTGTGCAATGAATCTAAAATATATGAAAGTTTAATTTTGATCATTACATTATGGAAAATAATGAACTTTATCACAATATGCTAATTTTTTTAGAAGGACCTGTATATATATACAATAGTCAACATTTGAAGTGGATCAAAACCTTTCTGATCCACTTCAAATGTTGACTACTGTATGTATATGTATATATATATATATATATATATGTAACCTAACCGAACCGTAAACTTTGTGAACTGTTCACAAAATTTACGGTTCGGTTCAATTAATAAAGAAGCGCAAAAAAGAACATAAAATGACTAAATGAAAATTCTAAATATTAATAAAAACAAATCTATATATACACTATTATTTGTATCTATACTATATAAAAATAATCCTAAATTACGGTAACCAGTTTTAGGGAAAGTTCCTTTTAAAAGTAATGTGTTATAATATTGCGGTACTCCCTAAAAAAGTAACTAATTGTGTTACTTAGTTACTTTTTATGGAAAGTAATGCGTTACTTTTGCGTTGTGTTTTTTCACCTGGGCTGGGCTTGCTTGTTTCTTGATAACAAAAAACAGTTCTATCATGGTATGGTAACCTACCAGGTCTCGCTGGAAGTAGATGAGGACAGCGGCTGTCACCTGTGCGATGAGGATCAGGAGGAGACAGGTGAAGTACTGCAAACAGAGGACAGAAAATTCCATTTACAATTACTGGACACTCAAACAAAAGCTAGAACCTCTTAAACTACTTCAAACTTTCAGGCTAGTTTTTCTCAAGCTTTTCTTCTAATTGATATCTTAGTCATTAGAGTTCAGATAAACACTTCCACTTGTTTATTGGACGAATTAACAAACTTACAACAATGCATGATTACATAAAGCACATGACAGCTAGATAACGTTATTTTCTAAATGGGTCAAACAGTTTAACAAAGACCTTTGCTGACCGCTAAGCTTATCGAGCGATCTTGTGGGTACTAACATGGCCCCCAGTTCTTCCATGGACATAACCTAAATCTGCCTGGCTTATCCCTGTCACTCCAGCTCAGTAAAGCCAGCAGCATTAACCCCAGAGAGCCATTTGAAGCTAACTCTTTATCATGCTAATGGGGAAGGGTTTTATGAAGCTGCCTCAGCAGACGGTCCGGGCACGCATAAGTCTGGCCTTGTTGAGACTGTGATTACGACAGCGTAACAGCAACTCTAACCATGGCAGCTTCTGAATGCTCCAGTGCTCAATGAAGTTATTCAATTTTATCTTATAAATAAATGTATAACGGATTTTAATATAGTTACAAAAAATGATCAGTTAATGCAAATTTTGCAAGAACTGAATATGTTTAGAAGCAAAATATCATTTGTATAAATAGCCCAGAGAACAGAATGAGCTGGCTCTAGTAGTCAGCAGATATTTATATATAAATATGCAAAAAAAAAGAAAAAAAGAAAAATAATAATTAAATTAAATTAAACCACAATTGGCTGGCTTTGATGTACTCAGCATTTATTTATATATAAATATGCTAAATAAAATAAAATAAACATAATGAAATTAAATCATATCAAATTAAATAAATAGATAAAAGACTCTATAACTCTCTATAATTACTCACCAGTCCAAGAAGGCATCGGATCTCATAAATGGCACCAATGCAGCCCAGGAAACCCATGACCATGGACAGAGATCCAATCCCAATCAAGATGTAGGCGCCAACTTTCAGCGTTGTGGAGGACTCGTCTGCATAAACACACAAGACACCAGTCACACTCTCTGACAAAATGATTTCATGATGGAAAAAGAACATTTAGATGATGAGAATGAATTAAGATCACTTCTCTTATTATTTGATATTACACCATAAACCTCACTAGAAAATAACAGCCAGCCATAATCTAATATTTTAACTGTCATGATGCACAGATGTGTGTTTTGCTACGGAGTTGAAAGTGAAACTGAGTTTAGAGGGTGGTGGTATGGCAGATTTGAGACCGTTTCTGCAGCTACACATCAGTCTTGCTTTAGGCTCTGCAACTCAATGCAGCAAGTTCAGATGTGTGCAGAGGAAGAAGTGTGACACAAAAATAATAACTGTTGGTGCAGGAAGCAAAAATATCATTGCATTTCACCATATCAACATTTTTAAACAATGGATGCAGGTCTCATAGTGACCTAGAAGTATGCAAACTGAATTTTGTTTGTCTGATAACTGTTTTATAGACGTTCAGAACCTGATCTTAATTTATTTTACTAATGAGAGAGAGAAAATAAACGGCTGAACCAACTCACTAATCACCACTATCGGTATGGCGAACACCCTCATAACACAGCAAACCTTCTACGCTTCTACAGTGGCTCAGCATATGAAAGTCATTTAAAATTATTGCATGGAAAATCATGCATTTTCTCTCAATCTATTATTAAAGTTGGCGCTGAGCTGTGGTGCTCATTTGAGTAGCAGGTTGTTCTTACTATCCTTAGCTACATACACATCAGTAGCTTTAGAGTAATTAAAGACATGAAACTAGCAGTCGAGAGTGGAAAATAATGTCCCTCCTGCAATTCAAAGCAGACACGAGTTTAGCTGCTCGTAGCTGTTCGGGAGGATGGCAAAGACATGTGGCTTGTGGCTCTGAAGAACCATCAAGTCTTCTGTAACCACGTGATCCTGCTTGTATTTCACCACAAAAACATTTGTTTCACTAGCATGCGAGTAAAATGTAAGGCTGTCAATTTAACATTTTGATTTAGCGCAATTAATTGTATATATAAAAAAAGATGCAAAAAAATGACATTGTCATTCGTTTGTATACAAGTGGGATTTGACTGCACTAAAGCATAAAAATACGGTAACACTTTATTTTACAGTGTCCTTGTTACATATGTTACATGTACTTAGCATAGTAATAACAGTAAATTATGCATAATTACATGCAAACCCTAATCCTACCCTAACCCTATAGTAAGTACATGTAGTTACTTAATATTACTCAGTACTTAAACACATAATTACACTATAACAATGACACCTTAAAATAAAGTGTAACCAAAAATACCATAATATGTTTGCAGAGATTTAGGAAACATGCTATGTTCAAATACAAAAAACAATGCTGAAGCCATTTATTCTACTTTGAAATGTGCGTTCCGTGTCGGGATGTCTATATGATCCCGCCCACTGCCAATTTACCCAATAGTATTTCGACACCCTGGGTTGCCAGTTTTTCGGAAAACGCAGCGTATTGCAGTCATGAAAGCCAGCAAACGATCTGGGACAGAGATTGCAGACTCTACCTGACCTAAAAAGCCTTGGCAATAAACACATTGCAAATGTATACAATAGCTGATTAACTTATAGTATAAGGCTCGTCACTTTCCATTGTCAATTGTGCTCGTTACGGTTGCGCGCCATCAATCTGGCAACCCACGCCGCGAAAGCGTCGAGTCTGAGGAGGAGGGGAAACTACCGAAACAACCCTCTCAAATATTTATAATTTGGCCTGTAGTACCCATTTCAACTACTATCTGTCAATATAACACACTGCACCTTTCATTTATTTTTCTTTATTCTTTTTTTATATATATAATTAATCAGCATATCATGCAATTATTGTTTTGAACTTTCTTCCAATCTTCAGTCCTAATTAATTTATCCCTGACTTCCATGTATCCATCCGAAACTATGAGGTAAGGTTATGTTGCCCTTGTACGACCTTAAAAGCAAAACTGTGACATCACATTTGTGACAGATTACCATTTTGTTTTATAAACTGAGAATAATAAATGGTCGGTAGATTACCTCTCAACTCAAGCAAGAATTCTGCGTCACAATTCTAAACACATGTTTCCTGCCTAGCGCATAACATCTGTCTGAGGGTAAATTTGAAGTTTCCAAGACCTCAGTGTGTGCTTGCTCATAGTTGCTGTGATGATCTCAAGGTACAATGGCAAACACCTCAGTATATCAGCGGAAATTCCCTCCCGGCAGCATTTTCCACTGGAAAAACAATCTTGGATGCTTTCAAGCATCATTTATATGCTATGAATGGAAAATATAACAAAATGTAAAAAAAAGAAAAAAAGAAAAAAGTCATTAACTTTAAAGATTAAGTATTTATTGGCTTGTTGTATTTGTATTTGGATGTATTTGATAATTGTATTAAGGTTGTGTTCAGGTTTGGCAGGATTGCTTCGATTAAAACAAGCTCTGGAGCGATTGCTCTGTTAGAGTGTTTCAATTGAATAAGTGGGAACGCTGCCGTCTGAACCCTGGCCCGCACCAAACAAGTGGAAAGATGGGTCTCAGTCCACTTCCAAACAAACTCTGGTGTGGTTCGAATGAAATATGAACGCAGCAAGGACCAAAGACGTGTAAACGAACCAAAAACAGGATGTGATGCCACAAGATGAAAAGGGACAGACCCTAAAAAAATACATGTTTGCACTACGTTGCCCATTACAGTTCGGTACAGGCATCGGATCTACCGTCTCCTTGCAGCAGACCAAGAGAAACTAACTACAATGTAAACACAGCCAAACATGTACAACTTTAGGACCCTGAACACAGTTGAAAATTAATTTACGTACCAGCCTCCGAGGCTTCAAACAACCAAACATTGACTCATGCTGTAACATGTTTTAGGTATTGAGTCATAATATTGCTGTATAACTTCATTGCACAAATTAATGAGCTATTTGAAAAAGAAGTAAAACCTTTATGTGAAAAATAGGGATGATAATGATACAATTCCCCAAGACTCCCTTTTATAGCCATGCGGTTGTGTGGAAGTCTATAAAAAAAAAAACACCTGGGAGGAAGGGGAACAAATAAATAAAACCGAGATTAGAGAACACACCTTCCCGTTATTTTCAAACTCAATAGGGCCTTAAAACACAGACTAACAAAGTCAACAAACTCCTCGTGCAGCACAGAGTGGGAGTAACAGTACAGGAACACAGAGGACTACTGGACCATGTGTTAGCAGAAAGGCAAGGTCAGACTCAGAGTTAAGGGTCCCTAAGTATTAGAATATCCTAAGATATTCCCTGCCATCTCCAGAGGAACCGCTGAATCAGAAAAACAATGTTTCCAAAAATGGTCCCGATAACAGAGACTCCAGCACGGTGATATCTGGAGACACTGAAAAAGACAAAGTGAGTGGAAAGGATGGCGGTATGACCAGCTTGGCAAACATTTTTAGAGCTTGTCAGCTTCACATAAATATTCCCCTGCTGTAATTTGTTTAAGCGAGCATGTGCTATATATGGACTTCTCTAAACCTCAATGATCTTGACTGAGGGAACTTGGCTTGGTCGGTCTTATGAAAATATTTCATTTTCATGTCTATTTTCAAAGTTTTCTTTAGCAATGATGTGAAAAAAAAAAACTTTTAGCTTAAAGGGATACTTCACCCAAAAATGAAAATTCTGTCATCATTTACTCACCATCGCATCTTTCTTATGTGGAACTTAGGTGTCTTTGTTTCCGCAGTAGTTTCAATTTTGATATTTTTAGGTCAAACACCAGCCACGTCCAAGTGATCTGAGGGCGCTTCGGTCTGCGCAAGCACCGGAAAGCGCCGGAAGTGATCTCTCGCGCGTGTACGGAAAAGACCGAAGCGCCCGCGCCCTCAGATCACTTGGACGTGGCTGGTGTTACAAGAGGTAAAAACGATATAAATACAGTTCGTTTTCTCACACAAACCGCTCGTTTCGTGTCTTAGGCCATCAATGTGTACTTACATTTACGAGTCATTAAATCATGTTTAATTTGGACTTCTCTGTGCATGCTCTTTGAGGTGGTGACCATAGACCTGCATTATATGACTGACAGACAAGAACGGTTTGACCTAAAAATATCACAATTGAAACTACTGCAGAAACAAAGACACCTGCATCTTGGATGCCCTTGAGGTAAGCTAAAACATACCAAAAAAAAATTTCAAAGTGAACTATCCCTTTAATTGTTTAGATAAAAAAAGAAAAGATAACTCTGTTTCACAGAGGATTAAAGACAGGTTTGGAATGATATGAGGGTGAGTGAATGACGACAGCATTTTTTTGGTAAACTTTCCCTTTAAAAATGGAGTAAAGGCATTAGTCCCTTTAAGTCCCTTTACTTAGCGGTCATCTTAGAAACACCTATTGTGCTGCAATTTCAGTCATGCGAGTAAAACTCCAACCACTTTAAATGGGGAAACATACATTTTTCCAAAGCTGTTTATCAAGATTGTAAATGTTTGGAAGCATTAATAACAAATCAAGAAGATTTAAGCTAGTTTTCATGTTCCACTCTCTTTCAGCATGGAGTCTTCATGGCTTTGACTGTACAGACTGAGGGAGTAGGAGTATGATTCCCCACTAATCATGTACATTTAATCTTTATTACGTTTAGTATTTAATAACTCTCTTCCCTTATTTTGCCAACTTTCGCTCTCTGTTTAAGTGAGCATCAGATGGTTTAGTTCACATGTGTGCGTGTATAAACACAGAGAGTGCAGTGTGGGAGGGAGGTTTGTGGAAAACTTGGTTAATGGCAAAAAAATGAAAAATCCCCATGCCAAGCTCACGAATAACAGCTGCTTTTGCTGTGCATTCCCATGTATATCAAATAAACACCAGTTTGAACTCAAAAGTGGAGACAGAAATATGTGCAACCAGCGACGTACAGCTCTGACTCGATGAATACGGTTAACTGTGTGTCAGAAAATAGATAAAGAGAGAAGAGACACAGAGCTGATAAGATTTTTTAAATGCTTTTGAAAGGAGTGTCTTATGCTCACCAAGGCTGCATTTATTGGATCAAAAATACAGTAAAAACAGCAATATTGTGAAATATTATTACAATTTAAAATAACTGTTTTCTATTTAAATCTAATTTTATTATGAAATTTATTCCTGTGATGCAAAGCACATCTTCAGTGTCACATGATCATTCAAAATTCATTCTAATATGCTGATTTGCTGCTCAAGAAACTGCTTAATTTTAGGGGGGGTTTTTTCACTTTTGATTAAATTAATGCATCCTTGCTGAAAAAAAGTATTTTGCCAAGTATGTATAAAAACACCTTACTGACCCTAAACTGTTTACACAGAGTTTAGTTATGAACTGAAGTGACTCCCTAAAATATTCAAAGCAACATTTTGAGAGCAGAACTGCAATGGACCTAAAGTACTAATTCAATACTGTGAGAAATTATTTTTTCGCAAATGTTTTCTCAGTATATGAGAAAGCATTTGTGCTTCCATTACAAATCCGGAACTTTCCATTTCTGACCAATATCAGCCTGGAGATGCATACGGTTTCAATAAGACGTACTCTCAGGGACACGATTACATACATCAGAACAGGAAATGATGTTACTGTTTTTTGTACTTACGCAAAACCATGATGAAACTCTGGTTATCCAGCATGACCCATAGTCCAAAGCCCATGATTACAGCTCCAAAAATCTACAGGGCAAAAGAAACATGCATGAACAAACAAGCACGACGAACAGTGTTTGTCTCCTTCTGGACCCGTTTGGTTCCTCATAGCTTGATCTTAGTTTGTGCCTGGATTGTGAATGAGAACACTGTGCTGCCATTAAGATACCCCAGATAATTGCTAAAGAGAGACAACAACTCTCCACAGAACTGAGTTCTCATGCATTCCGGCCACAAAGTTCAAAACTAATGGATCCAAGGTGTCCTCTAAATGAACTGGATCAGAGAAGTTTCATTTCCCCCTGTCCCCTGTATCAGTGTGGAGAGGGAAGCTGTAAAACACCAGGCTACTGTACAATTAAAGGGCCTTCAGGAGGGAGAATCAGACACACACACACACACACACTTTTCATTAGCCTTTGACCCTTTATAACATGTCTAGCTGAAGCTTGTAGAAATACAACAGAGATGCTTCCTCACTGAGCTTTAACTATTTCCTAACAGGGCTTTCCAAAACATCACACTGCTGGGTATTTTTGTTTTTGCCCAATAATAATGCAAATACATGTAAAATGTCATGCGAAACGGTAAAAAAAAATAAAAGCAAAATATTTAAAAAAAGGATTTTTTATAATGTACTTTTCTACATGCACATATGGACGATGGCAAAAATTGATTTTTGCAAATTAAATTTTGTATTTATTTATCCTCTAAAAAATTTTTTTTTAAAAAGTTTTAACTCAAATTAAATTAAAACTTTACTATAATTTTAGAGGTTAAAATTAACAAAATGACCAAAACTACAACGGCTGTGCAACCAAAACAAAAACTGCTGTTTATTTTCAGTTATAATAATTACACTCAAATAAAAACTGTAGGTAGTTTTTCTAAACACTTGTCTTCATGACAAATTTATTCAAACTTACATATATAATTAACAATAAATAAGCTCCTCTAGTGTTTTTTTCACTCGGGTGTTTTTAAACAATCAGCCGATAGTAGAAATAATTGCTTTTATCGGCCAATAGAGATTATTGTCCGATACATCAGTGCATCCCTAATAAATAAAGTTACAAATACATACAATGATAATTTGAGTTTTAAAAAGCTTTGAATAAATTGAAGTTTATGCAAAAAGTGTTTTGTGGTCAGAAACTTCTTTATGCATAAATATTTACATTTTCTTCCAGATTTCACAAAAGGCTCCATTTTAAATTCCCACTCTCAATAGAAGACCAGAGCTAATGACAGGGAGCCACGTGACTCCGAGTTCCTGCTGAGACAGAATAAAGGTGTAGGAGTGTGGACACTTACAAAGAAGAGGAGGTTGAACAAGAACAGGAAGTACTTGGTGGCGGCTATGCATCCTTTCCCCATGACTGCTGCTCTGTAAAAGAGGAAAAATCATCAAAACTCAGAGAAATGAAGAACCCCAGTGCTGATGGAGACCAGTTTTGGACATGACAACATTATTAAAGAGTTTCTCTCTGCACATTGTTAAAAATAAACTGTAATGTCTAATCTCTCTCAACGATATACAGAGGAAACAACTGTTCTAATAAATCACAGCTGCAATTCAGTTTTTAGTATTCTGGGGCGGTCGATTCGTTTCAGTTCCATCTATGAATGCTATTAATATATCTCTAAAGAAATAAGCCATATTGGTGGGAAAAATTTTGCAGCGTTTTCTTGTTTGTGTCTGACATGTCAGAGAATCGAACAAAGGTATACAGTAATTATACTGGTGTGCCAACTGAGAGCAAATAAGGATAATCCACAATTAAATAATCAAAAGACTTTTCTTTTTGGACAAATAATCTATTTTAGAATCTAAATAATCTAAAAGTATAATTTATTCTCAACTGGTGGGTTTGAAGGTCCAAAAGTGGGTGAGAAAAAAAACTTTTCATTTCTTTTGCTGTTGATGCCAAAACCTTCATGTTCAACTTCCCGGAGCTTCGTGTACAATGGTAAACTGTGTTTTGTACTGCAATTATTAATATTGTATTCATCATCATAGGCCCTGTTCACACCTAAGATGCGTTTTGGTCGATCGGATCACACATAGACGAGGGAGACACATACCCGTTTACTCTTGGTGTCTCTTTTGTCCACTTTTCCAATTTCTTTGAGGGGAGGGTCTATGGGCGGGTAATTGTATGGGGCCTTCTTTAAATCTAATGGATGAAATAAGCTCACGCAATTTACATATGAGCACAACAACCAGAGATGACGAAACACACACAGAGAGCCTCAGCTTTTGTTTCTGGTCTGACAGCCACAAGACACTAAACAAGAGTGTGTTAGAAATCAGGAATCAGGACTTTTTCTAGGGCTGTACTGGCCTAGTCGATTAGTCGATTAATTGGCCGATACGTTCTGGTTCGACCAAAATTCTGATTGGTCGATTTTTTTCCGCGTTCATTTCATCAGTTTTACCGGGCTGAGGCGCGCTCATTTCATCAGGTGGAAAGCACTAACTGCTAATGGGGGTGTTTTCAGAGTACCCTTGTTTCACAGGTAACAGTCTGTCTTCAGAACACCCCCCCCCCCCCCTTGTTTTCACCTTTTTTGGATTAGCCCAACCCAAGAGCGAACGATAAGAAGGCTATAGAAAGTTTGATGCTGAATATTATTTATTTAATTGTGAGAGCGTTTAATAGTCAGTCCTCTTCTCACATGTCAACAACAAAGAAATCGACAGTGGGGCAGTATTTTGTTAAAATTGATAACGGGAAAAAGGTCGAATGCAAGTTTGCAAGCAACAGTTTTCCACAGCTCGACGACAAACATGACATATCATCTAAGTGGTAAGCTCACTTGTCTGCGTTAGCTTGCCCTGTCTGTTTTGAGTAGGCTATATGAACATATCAGAATTCGCATATTTCAATGTTTTAGTGTGATAACCTAGGCTAACTTTTTTATTTTTTATTTGGAGCCATGCGCAATGCCGACTGTTTGTGTTAGTTTTGAGCCTAAGATGCTTTATTTTTCAGTAATGCACTTTATTTCATTTCTGCTCTTGATCTGGTTTGTTTAATAAATATTTTTTTTTTATCAAAGTGGACGTGCCTTTTGTGTTTATTAAGAGTAAAAGCTTTAAGTTAATAGTCTATTAGTGTCTCAACCGCGAAGCTGAGCTTCAGCCTCGCTCGGTGCGAGGACATGCACAGAGCGGCTGAAATGATAGTGTCTGACAGTTATAACTTATTATTATAACATATGAAAAAAATAATTGTCTAAATTATGTTGCATATTCCTCAACAGTTCTTGTGATGATATCACTAGTTGACAACATAGTACTATTTTCGGAAATCATAGGCTATGATATTGCGGACAACAAGGCTACCAAGTACTGCGCACTGTGCGCAGCTAATTAATTTAACGTTTTTTTTTCTAACGTCTTTTTTAATCAATTTTAGTCGATTTTTAGTCGAAAATTTCAGGACTTCAGTCGACCAAGATTTTCTTTGGTTGAGTACAGCCCTAGCTTTTTCAGTCTTCAAACCCAATTTGGGTCTTCGGCCGACAAAGTTTCAATCCCGTCTGGCTTCCCATAATGTTAGTAGGCGTGTTTTGTAGTGGTTCGAACACATTCAACCACATGAGCGTTTACACTACGAAAGCAATCCGGTCGAATGTGTTTTCAACTACCTATGGAAGTGGCCGAAAGTGACAAGCTCAAAAGTTTTAGACCCCGTTTACTCCTGAATCGTCCACTTGTGATTGGATTGACAAAATACCAGGTGTAAACAGGGCCATGATATTAATACATTTCGATGTTTGATTCTTAAAACACTTTTCCTGAAGCAAAAAGTAGCAGAACTACTGACTAAAACAAATCCACCGGAGCAATCTTGACATTTATGATTTAAAGGGCATAATGAAATTGATATTAAAAAAATATTTGCGCTCTCTTCAAAGCTTCTCCCTAAACATCTGTGAAGACCCTGGGAATAAAGTGTGAGATTTCTGTGAGGAGGATTCAAAATGTAACCAAGAGTGCATGACATTTTCATTTCTAACTTGCACTGTTTCTTTTACACACATACACACACACACACACACACACACACTAATAAGCAATATATCAGGATATGAAGCCAGAGAGTCAGAGAGCCAAGCTTCCTTGGCTTCATCTCTTCTGAGTACTCCAGGGAGCTATAAACCAGAGTCTGCGCTGAATGCAGTATTTTTCTCCATTTTATTCATTTACAAAGGGGAGTTCAGAGGAATAATAACACCGCGCCAATCTCTTTCCACTGGTAAGCATGTTCCCAGTCATGACAAAAACACTGTACTACACAAGATTTGCCTTTCTCTTATTCCTCAACCTTCAGCAGTTTAGCCTGAGAAAACAATCAGAAACATGCGAGGGGAAGTATAAACGGCAATGAATGCAAGTTTCATCAAGTTTCAGATGATTTGGCTTTCTATTCAGCATTTTACAGTGTTAAAAACACAAACGATTCACATTCACAAAACCCCGCTGCAGTCACCAGAACTCTCGGCCACAAGTACAATCCCATTTAAAAAGCCAATTACATTTCCTTATGTAGCTATATGTAAAGCGTCCTTGGGTCCCGTGAAAGGCGCTATATAAGTATAAGTTTTTATTATTATTATTATTATTCTCTGTCAGGATTACAACCACTTCGACTGCAGGAAGGTTTTGCGATCTGGAAGCGGAGATACCCCTTCATCTATTTTCTTTAATAATCTCCACAGTCATTGTCAGCTGCAGTGTACTGTGCAGAAGTCTCCTTTCTATGGTCAATCACAAACATCCCCTCCATAATACAATGATGGCAGGCTGCCCCATTACATACAATAGACAAAAGCTGTCTTATCCTAGGATTTTTAAAGGGGTAGCCTATCTGAACACACCCAAGCAAGCTTTACATTGAGGATGTTAAATACTTACTATAAGGTCCTCTAGCTAGTGTTCTTTGACTGTTATTCATTTGACAGACCTTTAGTTCAGTTTTTAAATATGTATAGGGTGTCACTTGCATTTTGAAGAGAAAATAAACTGTAATTGTTTAATTACATCAGTATTTGATATCTGTCAGCAATCATACACTATTCTGGGATGCCAAGAGCATGCATAATAAAATAACTATACAATTTTTATTTTCAACGTTCTTTCCATAAGAAACAGTTCAAACGTTAGTTACCGATTTAGGCTGATCCCAAAGACCTAAATTACTAGCCAAGTAGGTCTACTAATTCACCCCTTCTGGGTCACACAAGACACTATTTTTGCATAACCCTATGATTTGGCCCCAGCCAACATCTTTTATGCTCTAAGGGCATTCCTATGGCAACCATAATTGAGGCAGCGTGAATGCTCCACTTAAGAGGGGAAACAGTCTCACGCCCCAGTTACCCATGAGTGTCCCCCTCTCACCCCTCCATCAGGAAGAAGTCGAGCCATTGCTAAACGAGAGCCGGGTTTTCAATAGCCACATCACAAGCATTACAATCATAGAAGGGGAAACAATTATCTACTACATCATCAACTAAACTTCCTGTGCTATATTTGTCAACACATGTTAGTTATCCTACATCATTCTCTGCAAAAAATCCCTAAGCAGCCTCCCACAGTTTCAGGGGGTAGGAGTGTCTGTTCAACATTTCTGGCCCATTATGAAACCTTTTATTAATGCAGTTTAGAGTGTGTTCACACTTGGCATGTTTGGTTCCATTAAAACAAACTCTAGATCGATCGCTCTGACTGACAGTGTGGTTCACTAATGAGGTTTCAGACACAGAGTATTAAAAACAATTGTGCTTTCACTTGTGCACATATAGGACTTTCATTTTATAGTCGCAATGAAACAGAAGTAGTCACATATCTTGTCTGCATTATAGGCCTATATATATACGATATTGTGACGTACATCGGAGTGTAACGGAGTGTCCCCTCCCTCTTGCAACATCTCTTCTCTGATGTCACGTTTACTGGCACGAGGGCGGGGCAACCTGTCAATCACATGAAATCAACCAATAGCAAACCACAACCATCCAATCAATTACAGATGAACAAAATCAAGTTTCTTGTTCAAGATGCCGTTTCACAAGGATATATGTCACAATAGGGAAGAAATGCATCCGTTTTATGCTGACATTAAAACCTTTTAACAAGGCCTACAAGAAATCGGAAAATTAAATTGTATTGAATGCTACGTTCAAATGCAGTGTGCACTAACATGCAAGCAAAGTTACAACTGGTTTGCAAAAAGAAATGTTTTTCCACATTAATTCTTTTTTTAGAAAGCCCCCAAACCTAAATTTCCCTTATGAAAAAGAGCTGCCTATTAAGTTTCTGCTAGAGGCCTGTCCTGGCAAAGGCAGCTCTCAACACACACAGTGGCATCCCATTTTTAGCTGGTTCCAAGAGCAGGAGTTTTCCAGCAAGGAAAAGTCGAAGTAAAAGAAGAGGAACATCTGTATCCTGGCTCTCTCTCTCTCTCAGTGGGCTCATTCCAGTCAAAGACACATCCTGGGAGGTCGGTCAACCCTTAACCTTTTAAGGACCTGAAGAAGCATCCAGTACTTAGCCCAAACTCAATTCCGACCTATTTTCACATCTGTGTTTTCATTATCATTGTTTTCAAGCACCGTTTTGACTGCAAACCAGTGCCCAAAATCCCAGTGCATGTTTATTAAATGTTAATGTTTTGCTGTCAGTTTTTTTGGTCAGGACAAGTAATCCCATGTCAGAGCAACAGTTTGAAGATAATCTCGTTAAACAGGTTACCTTATGTCAATATGTTATATGATTATACAACATCCGGTTTAATAATGCACAAATATTTTGTATTTAACTCCTTCACTACTGAGATTTGTCACCCCATTAACTTCCATATTTTTGCTTGCAAAGTGTTCAAAATAGATAGTAGTTAAAAACTACTATTTACTGTTTTGTTAATGCGTTATGTGGTCTGGCACATAAAGTTAAGTGTCTAAATTCACCTATACACAAAGCTAATACAAAGAATAAGCACTAGTATGATTAGGCACTAGTACTTATAAATAAGTAGGCTAAACTAGTACCTAATGGAATAGATGGTGTATAAAAAACAAGTAAAAGTAGCATGATAATAGATACTATCAAGGATTAAACATTAAAACGGCTTGCCATACTGCACGCGACTACTAGAACGCTCCTTTAAAACCAGCTGTCTCGATGCTGTTTCAAAGTAGACAACTTGTTGATTATCATGAACTTCCTAATTTCAAAACAAGCCAAATCATCTTGAAAAACTTGCGAAACCTCAGCTGCAATGCATAGGCTCACGAGTAAACTTCGTGAATGTGCGAGTTGAGTCCTTTCAGATTGTACACAAGAACGCAGAGAAAATGGTGAAAACTGCCAGTGCCACATCAGCGAAGATTTAAAGTTAACGTTACATACAACACAGAAAACGCACTTCTCCAAATAGTTTCACAGAACTAGTTTAACGTAACTAATACTATGATAGGACACGCAAATAAGGTACAAAGTTCATCAGGGCCTTATTTACTACGTTTAGATTCACTTATTGGCACGCCATCAGTAACTTAAATAACCTTTTTTACGCTTCGTACCGTCATTTTAGATGCCAGGGAAACTCATTTACCTCTTTTGTGTCAAGTCGCAAGACAGATCCGTTGAGCAGATGTCAGTGAGTTCGTGTCGCTACTGGAGTCTGAACAAAAAGACGAGAGCAAGAAGCATGAGAAGAAGAACCCCCTCTTTAACCCTTTCCTGTGCGGACTAACTGAACAACATCAAGTACCACGGAGACGCCAAAGTCAGACCTCTGCCATAATCACTGGTTATTGTGCATACTGTAAAATTTATAATTGAAAAAAAACTAAAAGGATATCTTTCAAAAAATGCTAAAGTTTTCAGGGCCGTTCTATTTAATTACGTTTTTATGACGTTTCCATGTTTCCTCCTTTTTATTGTGGTAACTGATTTTCAACAGAAACAGGATGGTAATAAAAATCACATTGTTAACACCTTTTCTTTTCAAGGTTAATTTTATAGCTAGCATTTTATATCTTAAAGGGATAGTTCACCCAAAAAGTTAAATTCTGTCATGCATTTATTCACTCACCCTCAAGTTGTTCTAAACCTGTATGAGTAGGCCTATCCTTCTTCTGCTGAACACAAAATAATTTATTTTGAAGAATGTTGGTAACCAAACAGTTGACTTTCATAGTATTTTATTTCCTACTGGCTACTGTCAACTGTTTGGTCACTGACATTCTTCAAAATATCTTCTTTTGTGTTCTGCCGAAGAAAGAAACTCATACAGGCTTGGAACAACTTGAGGGTGAAAATGACGCCACAATTTTTGGGTGAACTATCCCATGAAATGACATTATATAGGCAAATGGCATTAAAGTTTAAGGTTTACACCAGTTATACCAAATTGTCACTGAATGCATCTTCCCAGAAATTGTATTTCACACACCGCATGAATGTAATTTCTACTTACTAGAGCTTGCGGGATTCTTTACCCTTCAACTGAGGAATTCTGACCCCATTACTGTTACAATGCAACTGATCAGTAATAGAGTTGTATTGACAATACTGCCCTCCTCAGGTCAAAAGCGGGAAAATCTGTGGGTTTTTTTTTGGCACACATCATTTCACTGATCAGATCATCAGCACATGGGAAAGTGTGAATAGGTACAAGTCAGGTGAAATCACTCAATGGTTCTGATTGGATTATGAGAGCATTATAATTGCTTTAAAAGGAGGGAAAAGGTGCTTCTAATCAATGTGTTTGCCAATCTAAAGAAAGACATCCAGCCATCATTGCTTTGCAAAATCGATTTTCTGGAGAATAAATGGTGAGAAGGCTACCATGAGTCCTGTGTGGTGCCGACAGTGAAGCGTCCGGAGATCATCCATGTGTGGGGTCGCTTTTCATCCAAGGGAGCGGCTCTCTCACAATACGGCCAAAAAAAATTGGAGCAATTTATGATCCATGAGCAATTTATGATGATCTGTGCATTTTCCAGCATGATAGAGCACCATCTCACAAGGCAAGAGTGATAATACAGTGTCTCTGAGATCTTAACATAGAAAAAATGGATCAGTGTCCAGACAGCTGAGAACCTGTGGTCAATCCTCACAAGGCGAGTGGACAAGCAGAAGCCCTCATCAACTGAGCACTAATAAGGTCAACCCTGGCTGTAAATATGCACTCTTTGCATATTGAATGTTTTTTGCCAATAGGTTTGTGTATGTGTTTGAATTTACTATGTTTTTTCTGAAGACTGTCCTGTAACTATGTATGACTGGTATGGCAAAAACAATTTCCCCTCAGGGATTAATAAAGTACAGTATTGTGGTAGAACATGTGGCAGCTCCAGTCGACACTTAAAATGTATACTCTAGTGCCGTCTCCAGTCGACACTCTGCTGAGACGGACGATGTCTCGCCCCTTATGAACATTATCAGTGGGTAACAGTGGGTCCACACTAACCAGCTGTGCAGCCGTGATCAGACTGACTCCAGACAAGGACTTCGAATATGCTTCAATCACAGAGGATTCCCATCAACAATCAGAGTACAAGAGTTTTTATAGAACTCATTACATCATTTTTTTCTCCAGTATGAATGGTTCATCCATTTCTGTTACTAGGTAAAAGCAAATTTAGATTTCTTGATTACTTCAGCTTGTTACTCAAGTCATGAGGTTATATATTTTTATATTCAGACAGCTGTTTAGTTTTGTTTCCTCTTTTACACACTGAATTTGGCCCAAGTGTTGGTGGAGACCTTTAGCTTTCAAAAGCATATACATTTTAATCCTGCAGAAAAGGGAATGTTAGTTATGATTAATAAAAAAATGTAAAAATATATATATATATATATATATATATATATACAGGTCCTTCTAAAAAAATTAGCATATTGTGATAAAGTTCATTATTTTCCATAATGTAATGATAAAAATGTATATATATTTCATATATTTTAGATTCATTGCACACCAACTGAAATATTTCAGGTCTTTTATTGTTTTAATACTGATGATATTGGCATACAGCTCATGAAAACCCAAAATTACTGTCTCAAAAAATTAGCATATTTCATCCGACCAATAAAATAAGTGTTTTTGATAAAAATAAAAAAAAGTCAACCTTCAACTAATTATGTTCAGATATGCACTCAATAGTCAATACTTGGTCGGGAATCCTTTTTCAGCCTGTGGCACTGCTGAGGTGTTATGGAGGCCCAGGATGCTTCGATAGCGGCCTTAAGCTCATCCAGAGTGTTGGCTCTTGCGTCTCTCAACTTTCTCTTCACAATATCCCACAGATTCTCTATGGGGTTCAGGTCAGGAGAGATGGCAAGCCAATTGAGCACAGTAATACCATGGTTTAGTAAACCATTTACCAGTGGTTTTGGCACTGTGATCAGGTGCCAGGTCATGCTGAAAAATGAAATATTCATCTCCATAAAGCTTTTCAGCACATGGAAGCATGAAGTGCTCCAAAATCTCCTGATAGCTAGCTGCATTGACCCTGCCCTTGATAAAACACAGTGCACCAACACCAGCAGCTGACATGGCACCCCAGACCATCACTGACTGTGGGTACTTGACACTGGACTTCAGGCATTTTGGCATTTCCTTCTCCCCAGTCTTCCTCCAGACTCTGGCACCTTGATTTCCGAATGACATGCAAAACTGAGCAACAGTCCAGTACTGCTTCTCTGTAGCCCAGGTCAGGCGCTTCTGCCGCTGTTTCTGGTTCAAAAGTGGCTTGACCTGGGGAATGCGGCACCTGTAGCCCATTTCCTGCACACGCCTGTGCACGGTGGCTCTGGATGTTTCTACTCCAGACTCAGTCCACTGCTTCCGCAGGTCCCCCAAGGTCTGGAATCGGTCCTTCTCCACAATCTTCCTCAGGGTCCGGTCACCTCTTCTCGTTGTGCAGCGTTTTTTCCCACACTTTTTTCTTCCCCCAGACTTCCCACTGAGGTGCCTTGATACAGCACTCTGGGAACAGCCTATTTGTTCAGAAATTTCTTTCTGTCTTACCCTCTTGCTTGAGGGTGTCAATGATGGCCTTCTGGACAGCAGTCAGGTCGGCAGTCTTACCCATGATTGCGGTTTTGAGTAATGAAACAGGCTGGGAGTTTTTAAAAGCCTCAGGAATATTTTGCAGGTGTTTAGAGTTAATTAGTTGATTCAGATGATTAGGTTAAAAGCTCGTTTAGAGACCCTTTTCATGATGTGCTAATTTTTTGAGACAGGAATTTTGGGTTTTCATGAGCTGTATGCCAAAATCATCAGTATTAAAACAATAAAAGACCTGAAATATTTCAGTTGGTGTGCAATGAATCTAAAATATATGAAAGTTTAATTTTTATCATTACATTATGGAAAATAATAAACTTTATCACAATATGCTAATTTTTTTAGAAGGACCTGTATACACCATATATATATATAAAACTCAATGATAATACATTACCATTATTAGTATTGCATATGAAATAAAGTTTCTCGAGCTGCATTTTCTGAAAAATGTAAATGCCACTTAATAATAGATATAACAATAATCAAAATGTATATAGTTGTAGAGGAAATTTTGGTACTTAATACAAGTGCTCAAGGTGGTACAAAGTCTAGGAAAAGCTATTTTAATATGTTACAAAGTGATATGGTCATTACAAATAACCTTTTTAATTCAGCAAGGACCTAATTGAGACCATAGTAGGTCTCTTTTTCTTTTGGTAATAGTTCAAGATTGCAGTTGTGTATGGCAATAAAAAAAGCTAAAGCTGGAGTGAGGTGGAAGCTCATTATCCAGCAACAATAAAAGACCTTGAGTGACAGATCCAATAAATGTACATTTTCTTTATTCCAAAAAGATAACGATGCAGTTCCATAACAATAACATTTCTCAATAAAATATTTACACACACATTTTAAAAGTACATTAACATCCCTTCAGAGGCATTATGTATACCATCGTCATCGTCAGACAGCTGAAGCCATAGCAGCTTACTGGATATTTATTTCTAATAGCATGGGAACACAATTCTCATCTGGAGACGTAAATATAACAAATGATTCATGTTTGCCGTCATCATATATAGCGAGAGCTTGCTTTTTAATGAGAGGAACAGAACATACAGTAAAAGCCGTGCCTATTCTGAACTACTAGCTAGGATTAGTTTGGTTCTGTGTCAAAGACATTATATTTTCAGGACAGTAAGAGGAGATTTGAGCTATGAACCTGTTCGCAAGTAAAGACAACGAAGAGACTAAATCAAACTGGGTTGTGAAAGAAAAGCTGAACTTCTTTATAACCCGTTTTGAGCCATGTATAAGCTAAATGTGAAAACCTAATTAAACCTAAGAACGAGTAACTGCTACTTTTGTCCACATACTGTACTCAACTGAAGCTCTATCATATACAGTGTGGAAACAACCAACAAGCATGATACTCAACATTTAACAGAAGTTTCCTGTATAGGTTCTTGCTAAAAAATATTGCTTCCTTCAATATATCCAATCAACATTTTTCCAATATCCAAGTTATGCTATTAAAGTTATAAAATGCTTCCAATTACGCTTTTAGCGGAAGATGTCACGTTGTCACTAATGGACACTAATGGATGCAGCAAACGTGTAATTACACACACATCATGCCTCGTTTTGATTTTGCAGTTTGTCTCAGCAGAACTCTCACAATGACTGAACAAAACTCGGACAATAAACATGCAAGTGACTCCACAAACCTAACCTACTGTAATGCAAAAACTTCTGGGCAGGCCAATAAATAAGCAACTGCAAATCAACAAGAAAATATATGTAGAGAATATAGTTCTTTTGAGGAATACAAACAACTGGCAGTGTGCTGACGTGGAATGCTTGTGCAGTTTAGCATATTAAGGCAATATTAGGGAGACGTGAGGGAAAATACTGCTACATTGCTTGTCTAAATGAATGAAACATGCCATTGTGCTACAAAACCATATTCTGTGGCATTACTACTGAAAGAAAAAGGCCTTTCTTGTTCATATACACTTCGAAATCTTGATGAAAACGAACATGACAGTAAGGAAAATGAAACAGAAAAGCTCCTGAAACAGTGCAACAACAGGGGGTTTCGAGATCAATGCACCTAGCAACTAGCTAACCAAACAAACTAACCTGTAGTGTCTGTCATCCATAAGGATCATAACCATTCCCGTATGAGAACTCGTTCCACGCAGAGCAGGCTGCTCCTGGATCAGTGATACAGCAGACACACATACACCTCACCAACCAGTAACAATGTTTTTACCGCTCAAATACTGAATGACCTGCACGGAAAACACACATTCTAGTGTTTACTAGTCACCCTTCACACACGTCACATGACTACAAGCTCAAAGTCATCGGCATTATTACATGAAATGATTTACAGTTTTGTTGATAACAGCTACAGACAATTACGCCAGCATTTCACGCTCGGCTACGGTGTGCAATACTTTACGAGATAAACGCTGAATGAGGAGGGCTGCCGCTGTGTGTCAGAAATAAAAATGGAATTCATTTGACCAGATTGTGAGCATTTCCCATAAAAAAACAAAAAAGAAGAAGTTTGCTCTCTAAAGGCAAACTCCTGTGTCGTGTGTAAGTTGAAATTAAAACAAAGGCCTGGTTGCAGTAAGGCTCAACACCAGATGAACAGGTTGATGTTTTTTGACTGCGTCACTGTTCAAAGCTTCTGATGGAAACTCCAGCCCAGCGGCCCGTCACCATGTGTGTGTGTGTGTGTGGTAATGGTGTGTGTGGGGCTCTCAGATCTTCTTGGGCCGGCGTCCCAGATGGTAGTAGTAGGACAGCGTGACGGTGAGGAAGAATATGCGACTGAGGAGGAGGAGGATGGCAGTGTTTGGCAGGGAGCCCAGTTCCATCAGAGTGACGGAGGTCACTGTAACAGACAAGTGCACAAAGACATTCATGATCCAAATATCAAGATAGTTTTGAGGACTTCAGATATTATTCGGTAAGATATTTCAATGTTTTTGAGAGAAGTCTCTTATGCTGCATTTACTTGATCGAAATACAGAAAAAACAGTAATATTGTAAAATATATTTTTTCAATTTAAAATAACTGTTTCCTATTTGAATATGTAATTTATTCCTGTGATGCACATGTGACTTTTCAGCATCATTACTCCAGTCTTCAGTGTCACATGATCCTTCAGAAATCATTCTAATGTCTTTTTTTATTTTTTATTATCAATTTTGAATACAGTTTTTTCATGATTCTTTGATGAATAGAAAGTTCAAAAGAACTAAATATTTTTTTAAACCATTTTTGTAAGATTGTAATTGTCTTCACTGTCACTTTTGATTAATTTAAAGAATCCTTTCTATATACATTTCTTTAAATAAAAAAAAACAATAAAAAAACTAGGGCTGCACGTTTTCAAGTTTTTCATTAACCGTTAACCGAGGCCCTTAGCGGTTAATACTCGGTTAACCATAGTGTGCGCGCCGCAACCCCGAGATACAGACACACGAGAAAGGGGTAGTTCATTTTTAACACCTTTAATAACTGGTTGGACCACATTTAAAACGAAATTAATTTATAGAAATAAAACGCAGTGGTAAGGACAGAGCAGTTATGTTGTGTTCATACCGAACGCGAATTTAATTATATGCGCGAGTGATTACATACAAAGTCAATGCAAAGACGCGAAGACGCATCATTCGCGCCGGGCGTTGCGAATGACGCGAATTGGGCGACGCGTTTGCCGCGAATGTCTTCCGCGCAAGTTGAAAAATTTGAACTCGAGCGAATGTTCAAGATAGACGCGTGACGTTATTTGACGCTCTATTCGCGTTCGGTGTGAACACACAAGACCATAATGATGCCCGGGTGTTGGCTGTTGAGATGGTACAACAACGAGGTTGTACTTGAAGTATATCTAACCTTATATCTCATATTATATCTCATTGCAATACTTGCATTTTGCCCCGTCATTCTCGATTTTAAAGTGCTCCCACGCTGTGCTTTTCTTTGCCCGCTTCATATTAGAAAACTGGTCATGAGTCATGACTACTTCTTCTTGTGGACATTACAAATGTATGGGAGCGCTCTGGCGGTCTCTGGTGGTGCAAAAATGTATTACAACTAAATTCAATGCACGCCATTGACGCCACTTAACCGAGCAAAATGTTTCACTCGGTTAAGCAATTTTTAACGGTTAATCGGTTAACCATGGACACCCCTAAAAAAAAACATATTGACAATAATCTTTAGAAATGCTGTGTACTGTAGTTGTCTGGAATCTTTGATTCTGATTGGTCAGTTGTGGCAGCATATTTGTATAATGACCCCAACCCTTAAAATATTTCACCTTGTCCATTGAAACATATCAGTGTTTTCTGTTTTTGATATTACTCTGTTCTCTTTTTTCCTATATCAGTGTAATTGGCTACATCAGGCATCTCGAAACAATTACTTTTACTGTGTGTAATAAAAACGACATTGGAGGGCAATTGTAATATACTGTATATGGTGAGCATAAAGCTCAGGAGACTCCAGAAAATGAAAACTTCACTCAGAAGAACTGGTAAGAGACAAAAGCTGGATGGGAGGAAGACATGTTACACTGTTAATAAATAAAAAAAGTTAATAAAAAGAGTTTATTAATATAATTTATAAAGCAAGATAAAAAAACAGATAAATAAAACAATTTTGATATACATTTTTCAGGGCCATTTATTTGGCAAGTAGTCATGTAATAGGTAGAAAACTGCAAAAAGTTTATTTGTTGATAATGCTATTGCACTACCATATTTGGGACAACTGCTCAATAAAAACAAAATATTAATATTATAAAAAAATATATATATATATATATATATATATATATATATATATATATATATATATATATATATATATATATATATCAACTATATGTGTAAAACACCACAGACAATGTAAGTTACAATCTAAAGTGTATTTATTTAAACGGATCCATTGAGAGACCACCACCACTAGAGGGCAGTGCCATCATGACATTACAGGACTGACAAAATACAGCATGCACGAGACTCTAGTTCTCATTGATACAAACCTAAAAACTGGATGGCGAAGTAGCAGGCCTCGCTAAGTAATGTCCACTGGATGATAACCTTCTCAGCAGTGTACAAGCCATTCCACATGATCAGAGACAGGCCTGCCAAAAAGAGGGCAAAAATATACACTACTGGTCAAAAGTTTGGATCAGTAAGATTTTTTTTTAAAAGAAATTAATACTTTTATCTAGTAAAGATGCATTACATTTATCAAAAGTGACATTTATATTGTTACAAAAAATTTCCATTTCAAATAAATCCAGTTCCTCTTGAACTTGCTATTCATCAAAGAAAGCTTATCATGGTTTCCACAAAAATACTAAGTAGCACAAATGTTTTCAACATTTATAATAAGGATCAATGTGACACTAAAGACTTGCATCACATGAATAAATTACATTTTTAAATATATTTAAATAGAAAATAGTTACTTTAAATTGAAATAATCTTTCACAATTTTAAAGTATATTTTACTGTTTTTGCTCGAATAAATGTGGCATTGGTGAGCAGAAGAGACTTCTGTCAAAAATATTAAAAAATTCCTACTGACTCCAAACTTTAGATTTTTTTGTAGAAGTTGTAACTGCTAAACAAACCTTCAAACAAACCCTGTGTGCCACAACATCATTTAGAAGAAATGTGTTCGCTTCACAGTTCTATAAAATATAATATAAATAAACAAAGTTCTGTCATGAAACTCTAGATGGCGTAGGCTATCTGTATCAGCAGCCAATGAGCTTTCTGCTCATCTTTCAAATACTTGGTCAGTGTTCAGAATACTTTCAGAAACCCTCCACCTTCCCCAGCTCCACCTGTATAGATTTGCTATGGGTAATTCATGTGTGCTATCGTACTCCAGCATGTCTTACTTGCTCAAAGCAGCGTTTTGTGTATGAGCAGTAGCAAATCTGTCATGTTGAGTCATGTTTAGTTCATTTTCTAAGTTTAAATCAATGAACAATAGAAGTACATTTTATGTATGTATGTGTGTGTATGTGTGTGTATGTGTGTGTGTGTGTGTGTGTGTGTGTGTGTGTATGTGTGTGTGTATGTGTGTGTATGTGTGTGTGTGTGTATGTGTGTGTGTATCTGTGTGTGTGTGTGTGTGTGTGTGTGTGTGTGTGTGTGTGTGTGTGTGTGTGTGTGTGTGTATGTATGTGTGTGTATGTGTATGTGTGTGTATGTGTGTGTGTATGTGTGTGTGTATGTGTGTGTATGTGGATGGATGTATGTGTGTGTGTGTGTGTATGTGGATGGATGTATGTGTGTGTATGTGGATGGATGTATGTGTGTGTATGTGGATGGATGGATGTGTGTGTATGGGGATGGATGTATGTGTGTGTATGTGGATGGATGTATGTGTGTGTATGTGGATGTATGTGTGTGTATGTGGGTGGATGTATGTGTGTGTATGTGGGTGTGTGGGTGGATGTATGTGTGTGTATGTGGGTGGATGTATGTGTGTGTATGTGGGTGGATGGATGGATGGATGGATGGATGGATGGATGGATGGAATCCTTCCTGTACACCTTGAGATACCAAAGAACAGTGGCTGTCATGTGCTGACAGACTTAGTAATTACCAGGAGGATTAGATGAGTAATATTAAAAACATGTCTCATCTATTTAATTTTTGAGGGAAAGATGTGAAAAGGAAGCAGGTAGGGGAATAATTGCACTGCTAATCTGTGCAAATTTGTTGTCTGCAGTGGGCCAGAAAGAGTTCGATTTAATGTGCAATTACGTGAATGAGCAGCGGAGAGCGTGCAGCCATGCAGGGAATATTTCCTTCTCGCTTCTCTTCACAATCCACTGGCTGACTGGCCATATAAACACATCCTAAGAGCCCCTTGAGTAGAAGGGTAAAAAGACAGAGGAGTCTGTTTACGGCCCATCAATAGATGCACTGACCCCGTCTAACTAAGGCTGTGAGAGATCATTAGGTAATGCTGCGTTATTAAAAATTACAGAATGACATGAACATGACTTACTGAGAATGGCCCCTCCATAGAGGCGTATAGAGACACTGGTGGCCGTTTGCTCCTGATCAAATACAACCTCATACAGCTGGTTGGGGAAGGCCAGGGCCTATAAATCACACACACAAAACCACTTAATGATGACTAGACTCATTGTGATACTGAAGATAGTAAGAAAGCAATGCTCCTGAGAACTTATGGAGCTTCAGGTACTGAAACTCACCATAAGGGCCATGACTGTGAAAACCACAGCAGAGAAGAGAATCCATAACCTTGAGAAAGAAAAAACATCAGAGTAACAGAAAACAGATAACTTGCGTATCTCTATTCTAAAATGCCATTGGCAGTTTAACAATGCTATAAAGAGGGATTTAAAAGCCTGAGACCAAATATCTGGGATTCAAAATGGCATTTAAACCTGGAAATAAACTGAAAGAAACTTTGATTTAGTCTATTTGTTGGCCGCTGTATAATAAAATGATGTCATCATGACGCCATTAAAATAAACCATCCACTTGTTTCTGATGCTGGGATCCTTCTGAAGTCTGTACAGAGACACAAACCAGCTGTTTAAACTGGACGCGTCAAAGCAAACATTCTTTCACTCTTCCAATTGTCCTGTTGTCGTCAGACTCAAGTGTGTGGAGTGTCAGAAACTGAATGTGCATCAGTATCCTGTATCAGTGTAGACAGCTTCTGGGATTATTGATGTGACGCTCACATCCAGTGTGGCAAGTGTCAGGCGTTAAGCGACTGAACACCAGTGGGCGGGGCCTATGGTGCGATGATGCATAAGTATTTGTCGATGTCTTGCTCTGGAGGCAGTCATATGCAATGTTTTATTTATAATCCGTCCTACGGATGAGACGTTAAACCGAGGTCCTGACTCTCCGTGGTCATTAAAAATCCCATGGCACTTCTCATAAAGAGTAGGGGTGTAACCCCGGTGTCCTAGCCACATTCCCTCCATTGGCCCCTGCCAATCATGGCCTCCTAATAATCCCCATCCATTGAATTGGCTCGCTCACTCTCTCTACTCTCTCCACCTGTAGCTGGTGTGTTGTGAGCGCACTGGCGCCGTTGTACTGTGGCTGCCGTCGCATCATCCAAGTGGATGCTGCACACTGGTGCTGGTTGAGGAGAGACCCCGACATGATTGTAAAGCGCTTTGGCTGTACAGTACATATGAAAAGCGCTATATAAACGCCTCATTCATTTATTCATAATGACGACGTTTTAAGCTATAAAACTTGCAGGGTGTTTTAATGGTACAAAGACATCTTATATGTCAAATGATCAAGGCAAAAGTGATTTCTCATATTATGACCCCTTTAATATAAAATGAAAATATTAATTCTTTCCCGCCAGTGTTTTTGAAAGAAGTTGCAAGCCAGAGCCAGCATTTTTTATGTTTGATGTTGAAGTTTCATGGTCCCCAGAATATTTTGTTATATGAATATCTGAATATGCAATATACATACATCAAAAGAATGTATTTTAAACAACAAAAAAAGCTTCATGCTTTCTTTTTTTTAGCAATACTTGAATGTGACTAGGTTTCAAAAAATAAAATAAAAACAACATTTTGAGCAAAATGGGTCTTCAAAATTCAGATTGTCAAAGACATCTGAATGGGATTCTGATGGGGAACTGCTTCACAGTCCTGTAGCTCATCCTAGGTTGATATTTCATTCGGTAACATTAGCCATTTTTTATTTATATGGTGTTTAATGCTGATGATCGCATTATTTTACATATGCATCTGCTTATGCTATCGCTTGTTTATGCTTGTTCTTCACCTGTGTTTTGATCAGGAGATTCTGTATTCTTTCAGAAGATGCGTAATAGCGCCCTCTACCTGATAACAGTGAAAACATGGAAAGCCGGAAAATTCCATCAATAGAGGGGATGAGAAATATTTTAGATTGTACCCTATTTTAAGTTACTAATCAAATAAATACATTTGTAACTTTGACTATATGACACCTTTTACAGAAGGTCAGATAAATAAATTCGACATATTTTAGATTCTACACTGTAAAAAATGGTAAACTGGCAGCTGTGGTTGCCAGAATCATACCGTAAAAATACGGTGTGTTACTGTTTTTAAAATTAACAGCTAAATACCGTATTGTACCGTACAGTATAAAACTTTAATTTAACAGCTATATGCTGTAACACAAAAACAGTAACACACCGTATTGTTACGGTATGATGCCGGCCACCACAGCAGCCAGGAGTTTACCGTTTTTTAAAGGATTATTTTTTACAGTGTAGGCCTACCCTATTTTTAGGGAACTAATTAAATAAATAACATGAACAGAACATAAACTAAAACATTGACAATTTTTACAGACAACAGTGCAAACTATCTTTATAAAAAAATAAATAAAAAATAGCAGCATTTTCACTAGTGGTCTCAGACTTTTGGACCCCCCTGAATACACATGTTATGTCACTGAATGGTGTGAAATTCAAACTGAGGTATGGAGACTTCACAAATGACACAGCTAATCCACATAAATTAGGAGCTAATAATATTGCAGGGCATTTATTCTTACATAAATCATTTGCATTAGTGTCCGAAGACAGACAAAACGCTACACGTTACTGAAACAGAACCTGAATTTGTACAGTACAGTTATCAGGTTCAGGGTTCAGCTGGTTCAGCTGTGGCCTGTCAAAATAACTGTGCTTTAATTAAAGGCCTGCTATTTTCTGCACTGTTGACCCAAGGCAGAATGTAATAAATGAGGTGAACGAGAGCAATCTCCCCTAAGCACCACAGTGCAGAGAGAGTGGCAGAACAGCACAGGGATGTCGTCTTACCTCAGTCCCACAGGCTCTCGAACCGCAAACTTGATCTCATTCCCCAGCATCTGGCTGATCTGAGAGAGAAGAGGAGGAAGTGAGGAATAAAGAAAGATGCGGGGAGTGAGACACGAGGGAAAAAAACGCGACACTCAGAATAATAACATTGTCACATCCAGCAGAAGAGTAATTTGCAACAGAAACTTCCCGTCTAAATTCACTTCGGATGAACGAAAACAACTGAATCAGTCTGAAGCATGATGAATTAATAGTGCATGGTGAGTTATCCACAGTGGTGTGGAGCGAATCATTAAAACATCTTTAATTAAAATGAAGAAACCTGTTGTCAACGCCTGGTGGCCACCGGTGAATAGGTGGATTAATAACACAATATATTTAGCATGAAACCCAATTTGATGATAAATTAGCAAATGCAGCCACCCACACAAAGTCTCTGATGATTTCCAGAGATTCACACATTTTTAGGTTTATGGCTGCCGTTCAATGCAGCCTACTTCTTCAAAGCTGTTAAACAAAGATGGCAACACTACAAGCAAATCAAAGTGTTGGCAAACTCCTCCTTTGTTTAATCACCTTTTTGAAAGGTGAGGCTCTTCTATCATTAGAGGCATATCACACATTCCCTTATGGCTGCTTAAAACAGTGTCATTAAATATAAGAGCCTTCATTTCTCCTAATAGAGCATTTTGGTTTCTAAGGAAATATTTTATTTAAAGGGATAGTTCACCCAAAAATGAAAATTCTGTCATTAATTGCTCACCCTCATGTCGTTCCGAAACCATAAGACTTCCGTTCATCTTCAGAACACAAATGAAGATATTTCTAATGAAATCTGAGTGATTTCTGTCCCTCCATTGACAGCTACACAACTACTTTGATGCTTCAAAAGTTCATAAAGAGATTGTTAAACTAATACATTATGAATTGAGCGGTTTAGTCCAAGTTTTCTGAAGAGACTCGATCGCTATATGATGAACAGATTGAATTTAGGCTGTACACTATCAATCAAATAACGTTTTTGAAAGAAATACTATTGCAATTTTAAAAAACTGTTTTCTATTTATATGTAATTTATTCCTGAGATTGCAATGCTGAATTTTCAGCATCATTACTCCAGAAATGTCACATGATCCTTCAGAAATCATTCTAATATGCTGATTTGCTGATAAGAAAACATTGCTAATTATCAATGTTCAAAACAGTTGTGCTGCTTAATATTTTTTGTGGAAACTTGAGACATTTTTTTGATGAATAGAAAGTTCAGAAGAACAGCATTGATTTAAACAGAATTTCTTTGTAAAATTACAAACGTGTTTACAGTCACTTTTGATCAATTTTGATCAAAAATTAATTTCTTTCAACAAAAAACAAACAAAAAAAATCATACTGACCTAAACCTAAACTTTTGAAGGATAGTAGTGTATATAATCAGCATAACACAATTTGAGTCTAAATCAGCATGAATGTCAGAACGCAATGATCACATGCTGGATTGCTATTCTATTGATTTGTCCATGGAAGAAGCATTTTAATTTGAGCCACAAGTCGGATATGAGTGGGATGTGTTTCTTTTATTCTCATTGGGTGCACATCTAATGTCAATAAAAAGCCAAACTCCAGAACCCCTCTGGATTTCCTTAAAGACTGTGAAATAAGACAGAATAGGAGTGCAATAGGGAGATAAGAAAGAGAAAGCGAGCGTGAGAGACAGAATGGAGGCAGAGAGGTGGGGAAATAAGCATGCAGAGATAAAGAGAGAACACACACTATGAGGGCTGCGATTGTGCAGGTCCCCTGTAGATCCTGCCACAGTGATACAGCAGACGCTGCTGGATGTGCTAATGACTCGAAAATAAATTAGATTTGGTGACTGCCAGAATGTAGATCCCCAGAGCTGTCTAAACAACCACCACAACTTCCAATATCACCCAAAGTAAACACGAGAAATAATAGGAATTTGTCCGTTACATCCGATACTGCCGCCTCTGCAGAGAGACTGTTCAAGTTAATGAAATGACAACACAATACCACAATATCTTTCAAAGAGTAGACAGACCGACTTATTTTCCGGTTTAGAGTGTGAAGAGTGCTGAAAGAGCACGGAGTAAAAAAAGATTTCTGAATGACAAGACAAGAAATGCCTACATATTAAAACACAGTGAATAAATATAATGTAATAGAATGGGGTGCAAATATCAAAATACAAGGCCTGCTCACAAGGACGAAAACTATAATGATAAAAATAAAGATACAGCTCTAAAAACGTTCTAAATATAAAAGAATATCAGTTTTCACACCAAATATGACGGCACAGAGACACAACACCGTTGGAATCACTTTCAGAATTATTTTTTTTACAACTGATGAATGATTAAAAACATTGACAGCCAATCAGAATCCATCCTCCTTTAAAGGGATACTCCACTTTTTTTGGAAATAGGCTCATTTTACAACTCCCCCAGAGTTAAACTGTTGAGTTTTACCGTTTTTGAATCCATTCAGCCGATCACCGGTTCTGGCGGTACCACTTTTAGCATAGCTTAGCATACATCATTGAAGTGGACAAGACCATTAGCATTTCTCACAAAAAAATCACCAAAGTGTTTCGATATTTTTCCTATTTAAAACTTGACTCTTCTGTAGTTACATCGTGCACTGAGACCGACGGAAAATGTAAAGTTGCGATTTTCTAGGCTGATATGGCTAGGAACTATCCGGTTGTTAAGTCGTGACGTAACCACTCTCCGATAATACTGTTTCCGGGTCCAAAGGCCGGGTCCTCTCTACCTACCTACCGCTTTCGCCCGAGTTTTAACGTGTTCCCGTGTTGTTTAAATAGATCGGAGTTAAAAAACAAGTGACATTCAACTGTCATTCTACCGCTTTCCCTGTGACGAGAAAGATAAGAGAAAATGGCTGCAGTTGATAAGGTAAGTTACAAATCTTAAACGAATGAAGAAACTTTGGCGCCAGTGGGTGCTATCCCTTAACCCTCAGAGCCCGACGGCATCGTCCACGACGTCACACGGCACCTCCGATAAATATTTATATAATTTGATGAAAGTTTTATCGATTTTCTTACCGTTTTTTCCAGCAGAAAGCTAACGAGCTAGCCATCACAGGGGGTGTCTCTGGTGTCTTTCTAGCCTTTACAGAAGGTTTTCTATCCAGCCTGGAACTTGTGCATCCTTTCGGAGTTTTTCAGCAATAAATCCAAACGCTTATATCCAAGTATGAGCCTCTTGATGTCCATAATTTATAAATATTCCGTCATTTTTGCCGCTAGCTCGATGCAAGCTGCCATTTTGGATATCACGTGATGTTTTCACGTGATGGTTGTTGACCAATTACAGGCTGATCCGTCGTAAACATTGTTGTGCGTCACGAACGCACGAACCAAGCTCTGATATTATTGTGGAGAGAGAGACGCACAAAGAGACGCGCGTTTCACAGAGAAACACAAAGAAAAATGGATGTAAATCAGCGCTGGCCTTTTTTGATGCCATGCAGGATGATGGATTTTCAGGAGAACAGAGCTTTTTGACCGATGAGGAACTAGATTAGTGATGTGGCCCTCTTTGTGATTGCTGATAGGAACTGTTTTGGCTTGGCACCAGTGAATTTCATGAGGCCCAAAACGCCTGGAATTCTTTTGGAAAAATGTAAATAGCTTTGGTTCTGTACAAGTTATAATGTTTATTCCTGTGCTCCAGGACTCCAAAGACATGAACAAACTGTTTTCCAGAGGAAATTTGCTTAGCTTTTATTTATGTGTGTGTGATTTCAAAAAATATTTGAGTGATTCAATTTCCGATTTATTTTTTCATTTGTCTTTGTGGTCCCATAACTTATTTTACATTCAGGTGACATCAATGCAACACAAATATGCTGAAAGTTCAATTTGTCCTGAAAAAAAAGAGGTGTGTCAATTGTCTGTGCACAAAAGGGTTGATGTTTTACAAGCTTTTTTAGTGAATAACACCAGACGGAAAATTTATTGTAAAAATACCCTTAGGTCTCTGAGGGTTAATACCTAGTAACACCCACTGGCACTGAAGCGAAAAAAGCCCTTAAGAAAAGGGTTTATTTAGTCTAGGATCTGGAGTGGACGAGCGGAGCGCTTGGGCCCGGAAGAGGCTAAACGTCACGCGTGACGTCAGACTTAACAACCGAATACTCTCATTCCTGCGTAAAAAATCAAGAAACGTCACTGCCGTACCATGAGCGCAGCAGGCGTAATGATATGACGCAGCGCCTGAAAATAGGCCACCTTCCGTCAACACAACGGAACTATTTTCAGGCGCTGCGTCATATCATTACGCCTGCTGCTCTCATGGTACGGCAGTAAAGTTTCTTGATTATTACGCAGGAATGAGAGTATAGTTCCTAGCCATACCAGCCTAGAAAATCGCAACTTTACATTTTCCGTCGGTCTTAGTGCACGATGTAACTACAGAAGAGTCAAGTTTTAAATAGGAAAAATATCGAAACACTTTGGTGATTTTTGTTTGAGAACTGCTAATGGTCTTGTCCACTTCAATGATGTATGCTAAGCTATGCTAAAAGTGGTACCGCCAGAACCGGAGATCGGCTGAATGGATTCAAAAACGGTAAAACTCAACAGTTTAACTCTGGGGGAGTTGTAAAATGAGCCTATTTCCAAAAAAAGTGGAGTATCCCTTTAACGAGTTCGAGCATTTAAAGCAGCAGGCGGGCGGCATAACTGCGGTGAACGCTTATTATCATAAACAGAATGATATCGCCCGCTGGTGTGGACGCTAATATAGTTATCGCTACAGTTATCGTTCTTTGTGTGAACGGGCCTTTTGTAACATGTAAAAGCAAAGTTAAATGTAAAAGTAAAATGAAGAAATCATTTTTGTTGCATTTTGACAAAAATAATGCAGAAATGGTGACACTGATCATTGATCTTTGTACAGAAGGTCAGATGTTGTTCAAATAATTTGATCAGATTATCATATCTTGAAAATGGGTTGTTCAAAAGAAAAAAAGGACATAAATAAGATTACTTCATGTAGGCTATTCATGTTTTCTT